TGACCACGACGACGACAACGACAAGGGAGGGAGGAGGCAGGCCGGCCACCGCGGCGAGCACATCGTCCGAATGCTTCGATAGACTACAGCATGCCCATATGCGTCAGCACAACAGCGGCGGATTCATAAACCTTGTTCTTGAGCGAATACTTTTTCACTTTGGCGAGCATGCGCCGCTCATCTTGCACCTGCTTTGGCGAAAGTCTTCCAAGTTTCTTCACGAAAGCACAGAGGGTAAACCTTCTCTTCGTCAATTTCGCATAGACTTGATGTGTCTCGCAGAGCAATAGAGCAAGCGCCCCAGCATCGTCGGGAATAGTAGGCGTATTTCGAATACCAGACCGCCCCAACCACTCGAGCAGCTCCACTGGGGAAGGATTACCTAGCACTTTAAGCATGGCAGCCACACTGCGATCGCTCATCAACATGCTGCCCCATACAGAACCTAATGCTATCTTGCGATGGAAGATTGCAGCTAAACTCCGAACACAATGAGGAGCAGTGTAGTCACCAACCATGTCAACTGGTCGAAGCTGCGATACCATGAGATCACACGCCTGCGTCGTGATAGTCCCACGGCCGTTGTGAAAATACTCGCAGCACATAGCTGCTGCGCTGGTAAGCTTTTCCCAACTCTCGTATGTATCAAACCATTTGACTATGTTGCTCGGTTTGGTGATGCGTCGACATAACCCAGGAACCAACATGGCTATTTCATCTCTGTCGATTTCTGTTTGCTGAGATTTGCTGCTCTGCGCGCTTATACGTTGCAGTGCATCTTTCATGCTTCCGCGCGCTTTCAAGTGTGACATCGCTGATGCCATGCGCCGAGGTGTCCATAATTGATGCAAAACGATTAGATGCCTCACTGCATGCAAGCCAGTATACTCGTTGTCATCTAGCTCTTGCTTTGAAAGCCGCAGCCCAGCGATGTCGGCAGCCCGTAACAATGGAATCTTAGCGCATGCTCCACGAGCGTACAGCAAGCACATCAACCGGATGACCAATTGCGCCCGGGCATTGGGCGGAGTCCGTCTAGGGTTCTTTGTGACATCTTGAGGCTCCTCTCGCAGACATTTGGGCAACTCCCTAACACTGTGGCCCGGCGCCAGCATGTCTTTCAGAGACCGAGTCTTTGTAAATTTACGGACCTTCTCCGCCACCGCAATTTCATTCGCCCCCGACCAGCGCATGCGCTCACCATCGCGAGTGGCTCGACCAACATAGACGCACTTCTCTGGATTGTAGGTCACATTTTGAAACATCGATGACATTGACGGATCTTGAGCCGAATCTTGTGGTCCCATACCTCCGACGATCTGATTGATTCAAACTCCGCGGTCCCAACATATACGGATCCTTGCCATGTTTTTTTTTGGGGGGGGGGCAAGCCGTTCGTGGTCCCGGGGGGTCGAAGATTGCCCCCAGCGGCCGAAAAAGTAAAAAATATCAAGATTGAATAAATCATCCCGCCGAAGATCTGGAGTCGAATGGAGCGAGGGGCGCCCGCGAGGCCAAGGCGGCTCGTGCCAACAGCGTAATTCGGCGGCTCGAGCCAGCGTCTCGCTCCGGGCGCCTGTCTCGGTTGGCGGAATCGAAGGGGGGAGGGTTTGGGGGAGAGTTCGAAGACGGACTGAAGGGAAGATCCGAGCAAGCACATCGCCCGAGTGCTTCGATAAAACGACAGCATGCAACTTTGCCCAAAAACAGCTGGCAAACAAATCTACCTCGCTTTCTGTTCCAAGGACCAACCATCCATGACATGGTATTTTTGTATTCGTGAATGAACAAAAGTGAGGTAGATCTGTTTACCAGCGAGGACAGGGCGACGCGCGAGGCGTTAGAGCGTCCAAGATGGCCAAAGATGGCTTCAAGAGGGTCCCAGAGAGGCAGACATGGCCTCCACGATCGTTCAATAAAACTCAAGATAACTCAAGATAGTTCCAACGTGCTTCCAAAAGCCATCAAGATCGCCCCAGGACGGCTCCAAGTGGCAGAGCGTCCCCTTTTTATTTACAATTGTGGCGTTCAACTTACTGGGAATTGGGGATGATGACTCAGACGTCCTTGACGGCACAGCACGCCAGCGAGCCGCACGTGCACGCATAGGTGGCAGAGCGTACGAGCGGGCACTGTGGACACATAGGCCGCCGTTGTCGTCGTCGTCGTCGTCGTCGTCGACGTCCAGGGTCGGCGGCACCGGCCGTAAGGCCTCTCCAATCAATTGTGACAAGAACATACGCGCTGACGATGGTCACGACGACGACGATGAGGGAGGGAGGAGGCAGGCCGGCCACCGCGGCAAGCACATCGTCCGAGTGCTTCGATAAAGCAACAGCATGCAACTTTGCCCAAAAACAGCTGGTAAACAAATCTACCTCGCTTTCTTTCCAGCGACCAACCATCTATGACATGGTATTTCTGTATTCGTGAATGAACAAAAGTAAGGTAGATCTGTTTACCAGCGAGGACAGGGCGACGCGCAAGGCGTTAGAGCGTCCAAGATGGCCAAGGATGGCTTCAAGAGGGTCCCAGAAAGGCAAACATGGCCTCCAATATCGTTCAATATAACTCAAGATCGTTCAAGATAGTTCCAACATGCTTCCAAAAGCCATCGAGATCGCCCCTGGGCGGCTCCAAGTGGCAGAGCGTCCCCTTTTTATTTACAACTGTAGCGTTCAACTTACTGGGAATTGGGGATGATGACTCTGACGTCCTCGACGGCAGAGCACGCCAGCGAGCCGCACGTGCACGCATAGGTGGCAGAGCGTACGAGCGGGCACTGTGGACACATAGGCCGCCGTTGTCGTCGTCGTCGTCGTCGTCGTCGTCGACGTCCAGGGTCGGCGGCGCCGGCCGTAAGGCCTCTCCAATCAATTGTGACAAGAACACATGCGCTGACGATGGTCACGACGACGACGACGAGGGAGGGAGGAGGCAGGCCGGCCACCGCGGCAAGCACATCGTCCGAGTGCTTGGATAAAGCAACAGCATGCAACTTTGCCCAAAAACAGCTGGTAAACAAATCTACCTCGCTTTCTTTCCAGCGACCAACCATCTATGACATGGTATTTCTGTATACGTTAATGAACAAAAGTAAGGTAGATCTGTTTACCAGCGAGGACAGGGCGACGCGCAAGGCGTTAGAGCGTCCAAGATGGCCAAGGATGGTTTCAAGAGGGTCCCAGAAAGGCAAACATGGCCTCCAATATCGTTCAGTATAACTCAAGATAGTTCAAGATAGTTCCAACGTGCTTCCAAAAGCCATCGAGATCGCCCCTGGGCGGCTCCAAGTGGCAGAGCGTCCTCTTTTTATTTACAACTGTGGCGTTCAACTTACTGAGAATTGGGGATGGTGACTCTGACGTCCTCGACGGCACAGCACGCCAGCGAGCCGCGCGTGCACGCATAGGTGGCAGAGCGTACGAGCAAGCACTGTGGACACATAGGCCGCCGTCGTCGTCGTCGTCGTCGTCGACGTCCAGGGTCGGCTGCGCCGGCCGTAGGCCTCTCCAATCAATTGTGACAAGAACACATGCGCTGACGATGGCCACGACGACGACGACGAGGGAGGGAGGAGGCAGGCCGGCCACCGCGGCAAGCACATCGCCCGAGTGCTTCGATAAAACAGCATGCAACTTTGCCCAAAAACAGCTGGTAAACAAATCTACCTCGCTTTCTTTCCAGCGACCAACCATCTATGACATGGTATTTCTGTATTCGTGACTGAACAAAAGTAAGGTAGATCTGTTTACCAGCGAGGACAGGGCGACGCGCAAGGCGTTAGAGCGTCCAAGATGGCCAGGGATGGCTTCAAGAGGGTCCCAGAAAGGCAAACATGGCCTCCAATATCGTTCAATATAACTCAAGATAGTTCAAGATAGTTCCAACGTGCTTCCAAAAGCCATCGAGATCGCCCCAGGACGGCTCCAAGTGGCAGAGCGTCCCCTTTTTATTTACAACTGTGGCGTTCTACTTACTGGGAATTGGGGATGATGACTCTGACGTCCTTGACGGCACAGCGCGCCAGCGAGCCGCACGTGCACGCATAAGTGACAGAGCGTACGAGCGGGCACTGTGGACACATAGGTCTGTCGTCGTCGTCGTCGTCGTCGTCGACGTCCAGGGTCGGCGGCACCGGCCGTAAGGCCTCTCCAATCAATTGTGACAAGAACACATGCGCTGACGATGGTCACGACGACGACGACGAGGGAGGGAGGAGGCAGGCCGGCCACCGCGGCAAGCACATCGTCCGAGTGCTTCGATAAAACATATGCATGCAACTTTGCCCAAAAACAGCTGGTAAACAAATCTACCTCGCTTTCTTTCCAGCGGCCAACCATCTATGACATGGTATTTCTGTATTCGTGAATGAACAAAAGTGGGGTAGATCTGTCTACCAGCAAGGACAGGGCGTCGCGCGAGGCGCGAGAGCGTCCAAGATTGCCAAAGATGGCTTCAAAAAGGTTCCAGAAAGGCAAAAATGGCTTCCAAGATCGTTCAATATAGCCCAAGATGATTCAATATGGTTTATGCTGTACCCAACACGCCCTCTGGCGACCGCCAGGGGGCCTCTGGGTACAACATACCCCGCCAGTTACGTTGTGCCCGACACGCCCTCTGGCCGACGCCAGGGGGCCGCTGGGTACAACACAAACCGCGGGTTATGTTGTACCCAACACGCCCTCTGGCGGACGCCAGGGGGCCTCTGGGTACAACATACAGCGCCGGTTACGTTGCACTCTGAGGTCCCAGGCAAAAGCTGGAATCCAGGACGGTGGTCCCAGGGAGGCTCAGGAGAGTAAAAATCATATAGAGAAAATTTAAGACATGTTTGAAAAGTAAAGTGCGCAACGAAACCTGCATTGTTGAACCGTCGTTCCCAGGAATGGCGATTTCGCTAGGGACTATTTAACTAGTCGTCGTCGTCGTCGTCTGTCGTCGCTGTCCCCCCCGCGAGGAGGAGGAGGAGGAAGAGGAAGAGGAGGATGGTTTTTTTTCTCTCAAACTCACTCAAGCAATCCTTGCGGCCATGCTTGGTCAATAAATCCTCTGGTGCGGTGCTGTGGTCAGGTCGCAGCGGCATTCGGACAAAAATTGCGTGCGTCCTCGTCAGCATGACATTGGCCCACTGCTGCGGGTCGTCAGCCAGGATGCATGAGCTCTGGTGCCCTGGGCGGCACTGCCCTTTCCAGCACGCGCTGCAAGATCCCGCTTCGCCTGTCGCCGGTGCGCACGCGCCACCTCGTGCAGCTTGCGGCGATGTGCCCGGGCGCAGATCTCTTCCGCAAGCCTCTTGATTTCTCCCGGGCTGTTGGCGAGTGGTCCGTAGATCTCTGGGTGCGTCTGGATCTCGGCCGTGACGTAGGGGACGCACCAGGTCATCCAGTCAGCGAGTGCCTGCGCGCGGTTCTTCGCCGCCTCCTGCAGGTTCCACGGCGGGATCATGTCCTGCATGGTGGAGGTGAGGCTGCGCGCGTCCTCGTCCGCGGCGATTCTCTCTGGGGTGTCCCGCTTCGCCTGCTGGACCGCAGGTGCGGCGCGCCGCCTGCCGCAGACAGTCTTCGCATTTACGGAAAGACAAGAATGCAAACATACCATCGAAATCATCAGCATGACAAACTTGCTGCCCATGAGGCCTGCAATTCTGAGAAGGCGCTCGAAAAGACGCGCGGCCCGATTGCACCCGCCGTTCTTGGACCATAAAGGAATACGTATTGACGCCCAGCACCCGACGATGACAACGACCGAGGACGAGATCCTCCTTGTCTATGACAATCTTTGTATATGACGTCTCTTGTAAATGTCATTCCTTGTGCATGATAGTGTTTGAATATGGCCTTCATTGTATATGATCTTCCTCGTATACGATGGTAACCCTGGATATGCGGCATGTCTGTTATCTGACAACGCCGCCATCGGGCAACCATGTTATCTAGCAAACAAGGGTTTCCTGGGGCGCCGCACCTTTTAAGAACGCAGCTCCATCGGGCAACCATGTTATCTCGCAAACAAGGGTTTCCTGGGGCGCAGCACCTTTTAAGAACGCAGCTATGCAGGTTCGGCGACTTCTACGACCCGTGCAACCAGCGAGGAGGTTACGGAGAACTCACCAGGTGAACAGGGCAGCCTAGCCGTTTTCGGCTGGCTGGATCACCCCTGTGACCAAGTGATATCTTCAAAGAGGGCCTGCAATCAGAGGCAGTCTAACCACAGTGGGTTGACTGGGTTGCCCTCGTGGTCACATTGGCTGGGCTGCTGGAGGCACAACGGGCATAGGCAGAGCTGCTGACTCGCAAGACTGAACAGGCAGAGGAGACGAGAGAAACCGTCATGGAAAATCAATGAGCGACTCACCGCGTCGCATTCTGAGCGCGCCTTAAAAGTGGAGTTCTGTTTGTAGATTAGGCAACGTCTGCATCGGCATATCATACTGATGCGCACAAAGACTGTTCCACCATGACATGTATACAAACTCTGTGCTGTGTGCCAGACAGACCGCATACAAACCATATTCAATGAACGCAGAGCATGTGCAACTTCTCATTGAACAACAACAAATATGATTTAATGCATACCAGAATGATGGTCATGCTGTCTGAAATCATTATGACCTAGCACATATGTTATCTTGCAAATGTGTCGCGTGTCAGGCGTATGATCTGGCAAATCTGTTATCTGGCAAATATGTTGTTTGGCAGGCGTGGGATCTGGCAAATCTGGCATCGGGCCAATATGTTACCTGGCAATTCTATCATCTGTCAAACGTGAAGATAGCGGGGCGAGAGTAGAGGCGGCGCTGCAGGACGGAAGATCACTGCTCGAGCCTGGCCTGCAGGCGAGCGAGCTGCTGTTGCAGCTCGCTCACGGCTCGCTCGAGAGCGTCGATCCTATCCTGCGTGGAGCCGTCGGTCAGAGGCGGGACCACTGCCGCTCCCGCGACTGGGCCCCAGGCAGGCGGAGGCGCCGCGGCGGGCGCGCCCCAGGCCGCCGGGACTGCACCCCACGGAGCGCGCCCCGCCTGATCGCCCTCGGCCTGCTCGGGCGCATCTTGCGTGGATCCGTCCGTTAGAGCGATCACAGGCGGGGGCGCCGCCGCGTCCGCCGGCCGCTGCGAGCCAGCGGCCGGCGGAGGGGGAACCACTGCCGCGCCCGCGGCTGGGCCCCAGGCGGGCGGAGGCGGAGGCGCCTCCGAGGCGACGCTCCACGCCCCCCACGCCGGCGCTGGCGGAGGCGCCGCGGCGCAGGCGCCCCAGCCCAGAGCCCGCGGTGGCGGCGGCACCGCGCCCGGGTGCTCCGGGTTAACGGTCGTCCCCGGCGCCCAGTTGCGAACCTTCCTGGCGTGCTCACGACTCGTGAAGTGCTCGCACCAAGGGTCGTCCTCCATCGGGGAAGGGGGGGGAGATGGGGCAGCGGGAGAGGCGCGCTCCTATGACAGAAACGCACAGCCTCCTACTCAGGATATCGCGGGAGCGTGGTCTGGGTGAGAGACTGCATGGGGCCTGAGGCCGGCCTCGGAATGACCGCTCAGACTCGTTCAGATATCACCGAGCAAGCTTATCGCAAATCAACGTTGACGAGAAATGACGCAGGAACGACAGGAAGCCGCAGGACATATGCGACCAATACGTGCACGACACAATGGGGAATTTATATGTAAAGCACAAGGAATAAGTGGATAACGGAACAACGGGGCGAGCATACATGATGACAGCAACGGACACCGATAATCTGGCAGATCTGCTATCTGGAAAAATTCTCATCTGGAAATCTGTTATCTGGCAAATCTCGCATCTGGAAAATCTACTATCTGGCAAACGTGCAAATATGTCATCCGTTATGTATTAATTCTGTTATCTGGCTAACCTGTTATCTGGCACGCCCGTTATCTTGCAAACCTGACAATGTGGCGACCACGATATCTAACTCAAGCCAGGAGGCTTCAACTAATCAGTTTTGATGAGTGATATAAAATAAATTAACTAGGCCGCGGCTGCGGCTCGCCAGGGCCTCCGCCAGGGATACCCTGCGAACCATGCATCTAGCAAACATAACCATTCGCAGCCCGTTATCTGGCAAAGCTGTTATCTGGCAGCTGCGTTAACTGTCACGCACGTTATCTGGCAAATCTGCCATCTGGCCAATATGTCTTCCAGCAAACATGTTATCCGGCAAATCTGTTATCTATCAAAACTGTTGGCTGGCAAAGCCGTTACCTGGAATGCGTACTATATGAGAGTGCGGCTTATGATAAGCACACATCACATATCATATACAAGGCAAATCATGTTTTAAACACAAGTCACAGACACAGCATGTCGTATACAACAAATGTTGAAAACAGCAGATTCTAAGTAAATCCGACAGCGCAGGCGAGTAGAGCGCGCGTGCCGACATGCACGATGGACTCCGCAAAACTTTCCGCACGTTACCGTCGAACACTGGGGAAGGGCGGCGGCGCGCGCAGCAGTGGCAATCCTGCGCCTGCTTGGCGTCTGCCCCGTTATCGTCCCAATGCGGGCAGATGAGGCACTTCCACACCTGCTTCGAGTCGTCCCACTTCAGCCAGTCCACCTGGCGAAAATCGCGCGCCGCTGCAGCGACGACCCCCTCCCTGCTCCCTGGCCTGGCGGCCAGCGGGCAAAAATCTGCGGTTTGAAATACTCTCCGAGAAACGATATATCATCTGAGTTACTCAACTCCCCCCCCCCCCAAGGATCGCCAGAATTTGCCCTGGACGTCAGACTTCAGTAGGAAGACTTTCAACAGCCAAAGCGACAAGTATTCGGGAAGGCCCCATGAAACAATCAGCAGAGCAAAACAAAAATAACGTGCGAATCACGGATCATGGCCCACGTGCCCTCGCATGGCAACAACATTAGATCGAGGCAATGCCCGGCCCGCCGGCTCCCCGGCGGCGCCGTCGACAAACGGCACAACGGGGCGAGACAGCGCCATGGCGCGGGCGGCGGCGAGCGAGGTGGCGGACGAGCCCCCCTGGGCTGCTCAGCAAGCTCCGCAGAATGCCCGGGCCGAGGTCACTCCGCAGGGCTCTGAACCTCGCCGAGTAAAACCTTTCCGCATTCCCTTCAAATATATTATGGTGCATCGAGCGCGGGATTACCATGTCACATGCAAGCCGCGCCAGAGACAATGTATGTTAAGTGCGTGCTAGACGACCGCATACAAGCCACTCTTTGTACAGTAGACGCCACGTGCAAGACATGTCATACACACCTAATAAGCCATGCACGAAGCATGTCACATACAATAAATGCCGCATGCAATCCGCGACAGATGGAAACTGAGCCCGCTGCGACGGTGACTCCTCATATATCATATGATATGTTTTGCAAGCGATGGTTTTGAACCGAGCCCATCCGTAATCTACTGCAGTGACGGTGACCAGCCCAATCCGAGCGGGCTGGAGAGCAGACCCCAGCCCGCCTGCACTCCGGTGACCCGGTTCAAGAACGGGACCCAAACCTGCTATCCGTTATCTGGCAAATCTGCCATCTGGCAAGTCTGTTATTTCGTATAAGTGTTATCTGGGACAAATGTCATGGCATTCTGTGTTTGGGGTAAGTTGTTGCTAGATAAACCTGGATATCTGGCATACCTGTGATGTGGTAGTAGGGCTTATGTCACAGCAGATGTGGCCCTATGCAATGGGGTCGTTTATCATCACTCAGTAGGTAGCCGCATGCAATGCAAGTTCCGAACAACGCATGCTATATACAAGGGGTATCTACAAACGAGCAACACCCTGTACAAGGCGCCCCTGCGCCCCGCGCGTTTCACGAGCGGGGAGGGCGGGGCCGGGGTCAAGGTTCGGAAACGACGGAAAAGCGAAGGCATCGGCAGACTCGAGCAACCCCTAGACTGCGCACGCAGGGCACGGCGTCGCATCGTCGGGCCAGCAGCCGCTGCCACTGCACAGGTTGCACGTCTCGCAGAGCGGACAAAAGTCCCTGATCTTACCGCCCTGGCTCGAAAAATATTCCAGCACGCCCGTGTTCGAGCAGAGAATGCAGTTGAACGCCTCCTCCACGCACTTTCGCGCGGCATCGGCGCCAGCTGAGTTGGGTGCGCGCGGCAAATGCACGCCGGCCGGGAGCCCGTGCCTCCTGCGAAGAATTCCAGACATTGCATTCACTGCGTATATGATATCCCGACTCACGTCCGCGGCCTCCTCACGGTGCTCAGGCGTCGGCGCTCGCGGGCGGACGACCACCATCTTCTCCGAGATCTCTGCGCCAGTGAAAAATATTGTCGCGGCCAGAGCCTGAGCTACGTTGATCGGCATGTCGCGGAAGTGCAAGGGGAAAGTGTTGGGCGGGTCCGCCGATGCCCGGTTGCGCTGTTTGTTATCCCCCAGGAACTGGTACACGAGCATCCTCGGGTCGCCGCCACCAGGGCGCTCCAACGCCAATGCCAAAGCAGCGCGAGCCTCCCGGCTCTCTCGCAGCACAGCGCCGCCCAGGCGCAGCCTCTTCCTGGGCATGAGCGTCGCCCGCAAGGGAAACTCTGCCGCGAAAGCGTCGGGGAAGAGCTGGACCGCGTGCAACGCAATCACCCGCCCTGCGGCCATCGCGCGCTCCACTGTCGCACTGTGAGGAGCCGCTTCGTCGTCCCGCGCCCGAGTGGCGTCCAAGTACATGGCCGTAATCGCAGCTCGGCCGTTCTGAA